ATCAAGGGGACACGAGGGACAGCAGAGGGCTTGACAAGCATTTAATAAAAAAATAAGAAAATAATGCAGTAAATAACAACAGCAGTAACATTGACACCGTAAATCCTGAGGGGGTCACACAGGGACATCTCACAGAATGCTCTGTGTTGGAAGGAACCCATGAGGATCGAGTCCAACTCTTAAGGGAATGGCCCCAGTAGGGTCAAAGCACAACCTTGGCCTTATTGGCACCGTGCTCTAAACAATGTCAAATTGCCATGGCAGCACATGTTTTAAGCCTGTATTCACATATATATATAAACTTAGTGCATAAATATAGTGTTAGAAGGATGTAATTGAAATCTGCTTCTTCAGTGTTATATCAATATAGACAGAAAAGGTCGCTGCAGAAATGTGTAGTGCAAGAGAAACTGCTCACGTCCTGTGATGGTCCCAGAGGGAGAAAGGAACTCCCAGGCCCTCCCCAGGCAGTCACACSTCAGCTTCCACATCATCTCTTCCTCCTGCAGGGTCATCTCCTGAGATCAGAGACTGAGGTGTCCCTGAGGGCAGGAACTGAGGTGACCCTACAAAGTGGCACTGAGGTGACCCTGAGAGTCAGTACAAGGCAGATGGTGCAGCTGAGGAGTAACATTCCTCATATTGGAAGAGACGAAGCCCAGCACGGAGAGGGAGCTCAGTCCATCCCCTGTCACTGGTGAGTTTGGGCCCTGCTGCAGACAAAGGGCATCGGATTTGAGCAGGGAGCACTCCTGAGCATACCCTCAGCCAGGAACACACACCCTGCATTGCCCAGGACAGGAACCCTGCAGGGAGGAGCAGAGACGGCATTGGAACATGGTGGGGACACCTGGTGCCCCTGTGCCCCCTGGGCCCTGCCTGTGCCCCCAGGACTCACGAGGAGTTGAAGCTGCTGCCGTCCCCCCACTGCAGCTCCCGGCCCCGTCTGCGCAGCCCGAGCCAGTGATCCTCGTTCCTGGTGAGGAGGAAGAGGAACTCCTGGGAAGGAGAGAGGAGCTGGCACTGGGAGCTGCACCCCCGGCCCAGGAGCCCCCCAGGCTCCCCTCAGCCACCCCAAAGCCCCTCACTCACCATTTCCCAGTCCTGGAGCACGGCCAGGGAGGCCCCGAGCTCAGAGCACCGAGCCTGAGCCTGATCCCAGCTGAGCTGATCCCTCGAGAGGAAGTAGCAGATCCTGCGGTGCCCGACCCAGCCATGGGGACAGGCCAGCAGCAGAGGAGTCTCAGGCACAACTGGAATTTCTGTTTGTGTTCTCCCTGTAGAGGGAAGGCCCAAGAGTTCCCCTCTGCATGGAGCAGGGACCCCGCTCTGCCCCAGGGGCTGGGCTGAGGCAGCTGCCCCTCCCTTACCTGACACATCAGCGGAGGCCGCCAACACCAGGAGCAGGAGCAGGAGCAGAATCAGCACCAGGGTGACCTTGGGATGGGATCTGATCCACTCAACTGGAGCAGGAAAAGCAGGAAAGAGCCACTGGCTGTGAGGACWGGGCTGTCCTGAGAAGGCCTGCCTCTCACATTTCCCCACCCAAACCCCCTGGGATCACAGGAGGGACCTCCCAGCCTGTGAGCCCCTCACTGCGCTGCCAGCAGRRGAGACCAGGGACAGGGAGAGCCAGGGACAGAGTCACACAGGAGAACTGCCCAGGGGCAGCTGGGAGTTTCAGTCCCAGCCACTCCTGGGACCCAGCAAAGCACARGGCCTCCTCCAGCCCCTGGGAGCAGCCCCAGCCCTGCCAGCCCTGTGCTCCTGCAGTGACACTGTCCCCTCCCTACAGGCCTCAAGGCTGGCCCTACACTCACCCAGGAATCCTCTGAGGGTACTTTTGTGGTTATCCCTCATTGTTGATATGGCCTGGGGACCCAGGGGCACCTTCACACTCCCATTTCTGGAGCAGACTCCATTCTCTACATTTTCACTCACTGCACACTGACAAGTGGCACCTTCGTGCTTAGGACAAGTGGCTTCTCGTGCCTGAGGCAGGAGTGTAACCCCGGATGATGATCCGTTCTGCATATACAGGAGCTCCTTCACAATCCCATGAATGGAGCAGAATTCACTCTTCTCCAGCTCACAGCTGAGATCGTTCTTCTTGCCATGAAGGAGACCTCTCTCCTGATACATCAGCAGTGCCGAGAAAGCCTTTTGGAGATCAGCTTTGGACACAGTTTGACAACGACGGTGATGTGAGACGAAAAGACCCATGATGAGAGATCCGGGCTGCTCCGGTCTCAGGAGAGCGCTGCCGGCTCAGCCCTGCCCTGTCCCTGCTCCCCGCAGATCGGTGGC